TTAGTTACACGAATTCAGATATGGGATGAAATCGTTTAGGGATGAATGAGTTTAAGAGTTTTTAAGAGTTTTAAGAGTTTTTAAGAGTTTTAGCCAAATGCTTTATAAACTAGTATAGATATATAGAAGCGATCAAATGAAAACCACTCAATTTGTAAAAACCGTAAAAACCTCATTTCATCAATCATAATTTTTCATTTTGTTCATTTTTTTGTAATTATGAGAGGTTGATTAATCATTTTTATTGTGGAGGATGTTAATCATGGATATTATCATCTTCATTATTTTAATTAGAGAAATACTTGAAACAATTTTATTAAGTAGTATATGAAACAATTTCATAATCATATATGAAAATAACCATATTTGAAACAACTAATCAAAAAAAAGTATTATAAGAAAAAATTTCACAAGATTAAACAATTTCATGAAAAAATTTCATAAGATTAAACAATGAAATCGACGGATGAGAGTAGTTTTTACGGTTTTTACAAATTGGAGTGAGTTTCATTTGATTCCGTTTGATATATATATATATATATATATATATGTGTGTGTGTGTTTGTGTGTGTACGCTTTTAGAGACCATTTAGTCTAATAAATATATGATTCCGTTTTGTTTATTAATATAAAATTATTAATATATATATATATATATATCTTTATTATTATATTATATTATACATATTAATATAGTGAATGCATACGATATATACACATATATATTATATTATAACAATAAATTATATATGTGTATATATAGAGGCCATCTGGTCTAATAAATAGATAATTCTTTTTTGTTTCCTAATATAAAATCATTGATATATATATATATATATATATATATATAGACTTGGGATCATGTAAGACCAATGGTTTTTCGTGAAACCCGTAAGACCAATTCTTAACCCTTGGATTAGATTTACAATCGTCAGATCTGAACATTTATAAACGTGAGGAGACTTCTCAATAATTACAAAATTGCCAACGTACAATTTAGACCATTAGATCATTAATTTAAAAAGTTGATCAATGAACATAAATTTGTCTTATGGGTCTCACGAAAAACCCTTGTTCCCACATGAACCCAACCATATATATATATATATATATATATATATATATCTATACTATATTATAAAGCATTTGGCTAAAACTCTTAAAAACTCTTAAAACTCTTAAAAACTCTTAAACCCATTCATCA